TATGTATACCTTATTCTTGGTTTAAAATAAAGTAACAGACTTTAAAGCTTATATTTATTTCATTAAATTAATGATATTGTATGTTACAGTACTTAATACATAAAGCTTATTTTAAAAACCATTATAAAATGTCATAAAATATGTAATTTTATCATAATTAAAATTTGCAAATTACTTAGAAAAAGTTTTGTTGTTAAATCGTATTGGAAGTATTTTAAATTTGATAAATTTTTAAAATTCAAAAAAGAATTTCCACACTTGAGCAAATCACAATAAAAAAAATTGCCTTTGATTAATGAAATTGATTCTGGCAGTTTTACAATATGTGCTAATGTTACTTCACTTATTAGAGAAAGATGTAATAAATTTGCAAGACCCCATTTTACAAATTGTACAACTGATAGTATTGAAGACAATACTGACATGAACTTTAATCCTAAAGACATTGTCTATACTGTTCTAAGTACTGAATTGGAAATTAAATAATTATTGCAATAAATGCAGATTATAGTATATATAAATTCTTTACATTAAATAGCTTTACATTGAAAATTTTAATAAGAATTTGTATATATGTATATAAATTGATGCTTCAAAGAATGTAAAAAATGCATATAATGGTATCGCTTTAAAATATATGATACATTTCAATTGAAAGAGAAAAAACTTTATATTCTATAAAGGACAATTAATAAGTTACTCTTATTTTAATGAAGTAATCTGTTCTACTAGTAAACATCTTAAAAAATTCATTTTACAGTATCAAAGGTTTATTAATATATTTACTATCTAAAAAGTTTTCACAGACAGATTTTGAGTCAAACTCAGTTTTTTTTACATATAATGAATTATTAGATCATGTCTTAAGTTATAATCATGGATGCTACAAAAAAGTTATGACATCGATCAAATTTCTGCACCTATAGTAACATGATAGTAAAATTTTTATATCGAATGAGTACCGTATTTCAGTAACATGTGTACTCCCCTGTGGGCTGTATTCTGCAGAGATTTTGAAAGCCAAATCTTGATTTATACCCAGGTATATAAATGTGAGGGTATCATACTTATATACCTGGGTATATAATAGTAAAACATATTAAAAACGTAGAAGTATTCATGCGGTATATCTATAAACAAGAGAAACCGTTCAAATATAGATATAATTTGACCAGTCAAAATATTATTACAGAATTAGTCAACTAATCAAATTGCGAAATTTACAAAAAGACAATTCAAGGGGATTCAAAAAATATGTTGTAAAGCAAAGTGAGAGCTTCATGTTTGTTTAACCATTTTCAATATTCATA